TCCCAAACTGTCATCACCACTGAGCAGCTTTTCAGTCAGCAGCTGTGACAGAAGAACAGCTGAACAACCTGGAATCAGCCAGAAATGAACCCAACACCATTCGCCAAACTAAATGGGCTGTAAGATGCTTTACAGACTGGCTGGAACAAAACAACATTAATACTGATCTGGCAAAAACTGACAAAACTGAGCTGAACTTGATATTGCGGCAGTTTTATGGCTCAGTCTGATTTGGTCAGACTCTGAAGATCAGACTACATGTTTGGCGAATGGTATTGGGTTCATTTCTGGCTGATTCCAGGTTGTTTAGCTGTTCTTCTGTCACAGCTGCCGACTGAAAAGCTGCTCAGTGGTGATGACAGTTTGGGAATTTAGTGTAAGGAGCTGGAGAACGAACTGCCGGCTGTGCAGCGAGTGGGCGGAGCTCGTTACTCTGACGTAGCAAGAAGCTGCTCGTTAAGGAACTATAATTAGGTGAAGGAACTGCGAACATTAAAACATATTAAACGCCGCGTTCACGGCCCAGTTTATTAATTTATTACTGTATTTATTTAACTGCTGTATAAAGCAATAGAACACTCGAGGAGTGTGTTATCGCCAATAACATCACGGCTGTGATGATCTACAGTGACCAAATCACAGCCGTGATGTTATTTCAGGATAACACACTGCCTCTGTTCTATTGCTTAGGTAGTAACTAGGGCTGGGTACCGAAATGCGATACCAAAAAGGCACCGACCAAAGTTCTCGGTACTACCGAGTACCGAAAAGCTTCAAAAACATCGGTGCCTATTTTCGATACTTTGCATAAAATGCAAATCACAAGTGATTAGTGGAGTAACCTCACAACTAATACAAAAAAAACACGACTTCCTTCCTGACGCACAGAAACGCACAGCTAGATAAATATGCTGAAGAGGTCGAAAGTCTGACTCTACTTCGAAAAAGCTACTGAGAACAGTTCCAGGTGCAAGAAGTGCCTTTAGACAGTGGTAGTAGGTCAGGTCTGGTGAAACGTTTGATTACACATGGAATTAATCGCGCTAATGCGGCCCCCCCAATGAGAAACAACCCCTTCACTGTAGCAGAAAAGCTGAGGATGTCAGTTGAGAGGAGGGAAGAAGAGCCACAGAGCAGTAACCAGTTTTATTATTAAAGGATTGCAGCCCTTTCGACTGTTGAATCTCTCTGGTTTAGGTGGGAAACGCAGGAGAGAGCCTTTGTTTTATCCCTCTATGGCAGACCCATAACAGTGGTTACAATACTGTGTTTGTGCTTCGTGAAATACATTTTTCTCTGTGTTTATTTATTCAGAGAGATGACAAAAGCATTAAATATCAGCCCCCATCCAGAGATACGCCGTCAAACACGCTAATACCTGCCTGGTGTGCAGTAGAAAAAGAAAATCATAATAATATTTATTCCTTTTTTGTATTTTTTGTCACAATTAGAAAAAAGATATCGAAAAATGTACCGTATTGGTATCACTATGGAACATTTTCAAACGATAGCCAGCCCTATTAGTAACAATACCTTTACTGGAGGATGAGTTTAGAATACTCTACACCTTTGCTAATCTGCTTAAAAGTTTTAATTGGTTGTCCAGATGTGTCTTATCTGCCTTATTGTTTCCTAATTTTAATTTATAAGTACTGTTTTAATAAAAGGTCCTTGGCCAGATTTTATTTTCTCTGCTATACTTTTACTATCATAAATGTACATTTGCTCATTTCAAACCCTTATTTTTGTATAATGCTCAGCTGCATTGCAGATGAGGGTCTCCTTCAGTGTGCGCCGAGCGTCAATAAAGGTAGACTGATTGATAGATTAATTGATTGATTGATTAACCATTTAATTATGTTGGAAATTTGAAAACATCAGTGGAGTTCCCCTTTAATAACTCCTTCCAAATGACTACTGTTCATTTTTCCAGTGAACACCTGAATTTACTGAACTGCTGAGTGTTAAAGGCTGAAATCTACCTGACTGCAGCTCAGCTGTGACAGCTGGTTCGAGGCTATGATGAGCACAAAGGAGCATCGCATCTAAATATAGATTTTAAGGTTTCAAACCTTCGCTGTTCTGATGCGCTGTCAACAATAGTGACTCAGAAAAGCTAAAAATAGACCCAAATTCAATCGTTTGTTTTACAAACTCTGACTTCTCTGTCTGTGAACTACCTGCTGTCTGAACAGGTGAGAGCTGAGCTATTTTCAGATCTAATCTGTCCCATATTCCACCAGCGTGGATCAGACTACAGAACACAGCTGCACGAGCCTTTTCTCTACTGCCTCGACGTGCATTGACTCTCTACGCATGTAGATGAAGGTTTGAATCTGATTTAATGTGTCAGGTGACACGTGAACACTTGTGTACACAATTAGATAACGAGATGATTTGCATTCACTCGACACTTTGCATGTTAACAAGGGCTATAAACAGCGCTTGAGGTGGAACCACTGTTGGTGAACATCACAGCTGTATCAGTGACAGCGAGGAACTAAACGGGAATAATAGATAATATTAGTAACAAAATATGCTGTAATGTTATGAAACATTTCTGAACATTTGATTTGAATACCAAGATGAAAGGTTTGAACACCCCTGCTTTAAAAACGTCACACTCATTTTGTTCCCACCCACATTTAGCCCAAATTTTCTCAAGGTTGGTGCCAAACGGTCTCATTATGCAGCTAGTTTGTTTATTTATTTTTTTTAACATAATTTGTGCAACTCTTTATAATATTGCTAATAATCTAAGAAGCTAATAAAAGATGTAAGTATGATGCTATGATGGATTTAACAACAAGCAGTTTATTACTGTGCGTGTCCCACACGGTGAGAGGCAGATGACGTGTATCTCAGCCCCTCTTCATAGGCTCATAACTCCGGATGTGAGTCTCGTATGATCTCGTGATGGAAATGGATGGAATAAGATGGAATAGATGGATATTATACACCAGCTCCCTTTACAATAGCAAAGCTCCAAAATCACTTGGAGTGAAATATCTTTACATTAACTTGCATTAAAAGTAAAGAATGTTTTTGCCCTCTCAGGTAAAGTCACCACTTTGGAGACATATTTTTCTCTGGACAGCAAGGATCAACCAGCATGACCATGCTGGGTGACCGGCTAAACCAGCACTAGACCAGCTATTCTATTCTATTCTATTCTATTCTATTCTATTAATTACTTCATTTGTTCATTTTTTCTTTCTTTGTTTGTTTTCATCAGGATAGATATTGCTTATTTCAGGAAATCCTAGTAAGTAAATCTTGCTTTTCCCACTAGCACATGTTTCTGCTGAAAATATGCATTTACATCACATTGTTAATGAATGTCTTCTTCTTCTTCTTCTTCTTCTTTTATGTAGTGTTATACTGCTTGGAAGAAAAAAAGTCCCCTGTCATAAGAACGACTTACTTTTGAAGTTTTGTCAAAGTGATTTAAAGGGAAATTCCATTGATTTTTCAAAATTTCTGTATCGTTAAATTGTTAAGGTGTAAACAGAGTCGCTCAGAGTGGTTTGGTGTGAAACGCTCTGTTCTAGAGTCTGAACTGTTCACAGTGATGGTGATAGGAACCAGACGTCCACCTCTAAAAGCTCCCTTACAGAAAGTTACTACATGAAATGGTTATGAATTCACTGCCTGATGACTGAGACACTGTTTTATGATAGTTTTGAGATTGGGATTTGGCTTCAAATGTATTTTTTCAAATCTGTTCAGGGCCGAAATGTACATGTAGGCTATCGTGATGTAAATCAGTCCCCTAAGAACACTTTTTCAGATTTACAGAGTCTGTAAGTTTCTCTACAATTAACCATTTCACATCAATCCAATCTGAATTACTATGTTATTAAATAAAGTGGTTATGAATATGAATATGCAAGCTTTTGGCATAAAGTGTATTTTGAATAGTTCTTCATGGTGGAGGGATACATGCAGGGCACTGTGAGGCAAAATAGTCCCCAAAGAAAACGTATTATTTCAGATTTTCCACTATTTTCCATCATCAACATTCCATATAAACTCAGAAGACTCGTGTAGGTTCACTGGTGGTTCTGGATAGTAAATAAAATGTCTATATCTGTGTTGTAGTCATGGCGACCCCTAGTTCCTATCACCACCACTGTAAAGACATCTGAACCATTTCACACCAAACCTCTCTGAATCACTCTGTTTACATCTCACACACTCAGTTATGGAGAAAAATTGCTAAATTTGAACATCACGTGCAATAATATTTATGTTTAAAAATCAAATTTAATGTTTTTAATACCAATAACAATAGCAGAACCCTTTTTGGTGCTGGATAGAACCATTTCCAAAGAGGTTCAAAATAGAACCATATAAAGCACATTAAATGCTTAAATAGCACTCGCATGGTGAAATGGGTCTTCAGATTGACAGAGAATGTGCTGTGTGTGGTTCTGTGTTCTAGGAATGTTTTTGAAAAAGCACCAAAAAAGGGTTCTATATAGAAAAAGAGTTCTTCTATCGTTGATGATGTCAAGCTTGTGACTATAGACAAATCTGTTTTGGTGCACATTGTCCATCAGTCTGAGGAAGGCACTCAGAGTTAGGCAGGAATTTTGAAAAGTCGGTGGAGTCCCCCTTTAACAAAGCCATTCAAGCTGAAATAGCCCACATAAGACTCAACGGAGAGTAAAGACCAGCCAGTTATGTAACCTGGTTAGCCCTCAGGGGAGAAATGTAGTCAGTCATATAAACCATACAAAACAGGCCTCATTTGCATATAAAATAATCATCTCTGTTGCACAAACAGACTTTAATTTATTTATCTAAACATCATCCATAATTTTTAAGCATGAAGTTTCGAGCAAAGACACAAAACAAAACAAAGCGATGCCTCGTGGTCTTGTTTGGCGCGTACAAACTACAACTCCCACAAGCGCTCGGGCGTCGACGCGACTAGCCAATGGGATCCGAGAACGCCGTGTGACGACACTCCGTTTGGTCTTCTTATGCGCCAATTGAGAATGCATGGGGTAAGAAATCGGCGCGAGACAGGAGAGAGAGCTCCAAGCTGTTTGTTGGTGAGGTGGGTGTGACTGTTATTGTGCTCGAGCTCACAGAGAAGATGGAATTCGGCGGCTTTAAAATGCAGAAGAGCGCGTTTTCCCGCGTTACAGGCGCTTTTTGTTAGCTAAGGAGTTGAATGAGCTTGAATGAGGCGCGTGCGGCTCTCTGCTCCCGTGGCTTTTCTTTTATGTCTGGTGCACGCGCCGCTTTGTCTTGCAGTGAACTTGGTTTGCTTTCCGCTCGGGCGGTTGTCTTCCCTCGGTTTGAGCAGCCTGTTGCAGTATTTTATTTATTTTATGTATTCTTTTTAGTTATTTGAACTCATTCAGGTGTTATTTACCTCCCACAGCATGCACGTCTAATTAAGATGCTGAATTTAATTTAATTAATGATGCTTATTCGCCGGGTCATTTTCGGAATTTTCCGTTCCACCTTAAATCGGCAGCAGTTGCATTCTGTTGCGTTCCGGCTCCTCAGGTGGAACTGCTGTCCATTTAAGGTGGAACGGAAAATTCCAATAAGTGAACTTCAGCTTCGTTTTTTCATTGTCCTCGTGCGTTAACCATGCCTCGTGCATCATGGTGCATATTTTTTCACCATTTATTTGCAAAATAGCTGCACTAATCTGGCTCTCCGGTTCAGCTGCTGGGTGCAAACTCTGAGTAAGCATGGCACTCAACAGCAATAACTAGGCGGAGCTGCGCGCGAGGTACCGCCTGTGCGCCTTTGTTCTTTGTTTGTTTCTGTGCACTTGCAGATGCACCGCGTGCGAGCACTTTCTGCAGCGTTTTTTTTTGCTCGATGCTGCTAAACTCCACGCTTAGTGTTGTTATTAATGCTGTTTATTATTATTACCTTACTATTATTTTTATATGCAATCATCCCGTTTGTAATTGCTCGCTTGACCGGGCTTGCAACGTCACTTCAGGCGGGTAACCTGCGTTTGCGCGCGCGCCTTTTTGCCCCCGCGGATGTGGGGGGTACCTCACACTTTTCTCGGCTCGCGCCAAACTTCAGTGCACGTTGGGGGAGGAGCTAATGTTACTGTAAGAATGCACAGCTGCTCTTTGCTAATGCAGTTCTTGAATCCTACACTTTTTAAGCTGTTCTGCAGTAAAGGTAACGGTTCTTTTTAGAACCAAGAGTTCTATGTGGAACCATGTGCATGCTCTAAATGGTTCTGTGCATGGTGAAATGGTTCTTCAGATTGATGGAGAATGTGTTGCAGCAGCAAAAAGAGTTCTTTTTATTGTTGTGATGTCAAGCTTATTCACGTTAGAAGAACCCTTATAGGTGCTATGTAGAACCATGTCCAAAAAGGTTCAATGGAGAACCGTATGAAACACATTCAAGGCTTAAATGGTTCTTTGCATGGTGAAATGGTTCTTCAGATTGACTGGGAATATGCTGTGTATGGTTCTGTATAGAACCTTTTTGAAAAAGCACCAAAAAGGGTTCTTTTGTTGTTTCACTCCTGACATCTGAACAATAGCAGAACCCTGTTTGGTGCTATATAGAACCGATTTTGAGAAGATTGCATTCAGAACAATATGCACAACACATTCTCCATCGGTCTGAAGAACCACTTTACCACGCAAAGAGCCACTTAAGCATGAAATGGTACTATGTGGAACTCATGGTTCCAAAGAGACCCATTGCCTTTGAGGAACATCTTTAGTAAGAATGTAGTGCATTGTAAGGTGAAATGCAGTGTTACAGGCAAAAAACAATCTCTCTCTCTCTCTCTCTCTCTCTCTCTCTCTCTCTCTCTCTCTCTCTCTCTCTCTCTCTCCCCTGTCTGTAACTTTCCAAAGCAGCCGCTAGAGGGTGCTGTTGTGCTTGTGCACACATAGCAGCAATGCTTTTGAATGTTTTGAAAATGTTTTGAATGTTCAGTGTTTTTACTCAAATCTTCTGTTTTTCAGACTCGATTTTTCAGACTAACTCTGCCCTCTTCTGCTACGATGGCCTCAGACGGTAAGAGACAACTCATTCAAATTTGCCTGGAAATTTAAACAAAGCATCAAGATTTACCCTCTGCTTTGATTTAGACCATCACTGTTAGACTTTATTAGGATCGTCCTCTTTAGATGCTTTGTAGATACTTAACTTACTTTCAAGTTACATTCAACTAAATGTCTACTAAATTGACCATAATTGTCTTTCACTCTAAACCTGCTCTAATTTTAACCTTAACCTCACAATTTCACAGTGGTATTTTCAAAATGTTCTCACATCTACAAGAACAACAGATCAAAACAAAGCTCAAATCACGTGTTAATCACAATTTTTTTATTTATTTATTATTATTTTTTTAAAATCCCCAGACCAGTATTCCTTGGCCACATCACCCCCTTTTACAGGGACATTAATAGTGAAATGCAAAAGAAAAACTGTCACAATTCATCATTTACTAATAATCATATAGATATAAGGTGAGGTGGTACCACAACCACCCAACCATCCCCCTCAACCCACAGTCAATCCCCCTCCCATCCCAGCCATCCTGCCCACCTGTCCCACCCTTTTAAGTGAAAGGAAATACCAAGAAAGAAAGAACTTTATTGATCCTGAAGGGAAATTGCAGTGTTTCAGTAGCAACACATATAGTTTCACATAAACTTACATATACTATGCAAAACAATAGACATAAGGTAGCCTCTTCAACTCCTTGAGACCACCGGTGGTTCCAAAACGCACTTCGTCATATTCTTCATAACTTTCATATTTCATAAGCTACATTCTAAAGGTGGGGGTCGTCTGAGAGCTGTAACTGTCTTCTTTCCAGTCAAATAGATGATGTAATTTTAAACCCTTATAATAAAAGAAGCTGAATTTTTTTCTACTGAAAGTCGACCCATTTTTCCACAAATCTGGGCTATAAACTATAAACAGATGGCGTCTCTTCAGTGATCTGCTCTGTAAACATTATTTTTATAAAATAATACAAAGAGCGTCTAAGATTTTTGGCTTTCAGCAGTAAATTGTAAGCATATAGCAATATGTGTGATCATAAAACATGTTCTGTTAATTTGGGGTGAATTTTTACAAAAAAAAATACAAATTTACATTTATTTCATGCAGTTACTGAATAGTTAGCCTTACAATTTGGTCATGTAAATTCAGATGGACAAACCAAGATACACCCTGGAGAATGAGGTTAAAGTATGAGTAGAAATAAAAGTATATCTATTTGCATATTTACATACCATATGAGACAGATTTGTTGTATTTACATGGTAGCGCTGAGTGGTATGAGGTCTAAAAGCACAGTGAGTATAAACATAACTAGGAGTATCAGCAGTATTACAGTGTAACGTGCAGAGTGAAAGTGTCTTTACAGCAGCAGGTTATGATGCACAGTGAGTGTTAACAGGAGAGGAGATACAGTGATGAGAGCTGAGAGAGGTGGGGGGGGCATACAGGACAGACAAACAAGAACAGTTAACAGAACAATAAACAGGGTAACAGTCATAATGTAGAAATAATTGTGGTGATTCAGATGATTTTGAACAATGTTCAACACTTTCACTCTCAAATCAACCACAGTGTAGATTCTTGGAAAGACGACGCTGCTCACGTTGACTTGAAGTGGTCGTCGTTTTCACCTGTCGAGAAAATGTTTGTTTATAAGAAACTTCAAGCAGGTTCTAGAATGGAAAAAAAAATAATATGGTTCTAAACAGAACCATTGCCTTTAGTAAAAAAACACTTGAAAAATTTTAGATTATTTTTTTTAACAAAAAATGCTTAAATGCCTCTTGGCATGGTGAAATGGTTATAGAGAATATGCTGTAAAAAGTTCTATATAGAACCTTTTTGAGAAGCCACCAAAAATGGGTTCTTGTATTGTTACCTGGTTGACATGGTAGCAACAGAAGAACCCTTTTTAATCATATGTAGACCCATTTTTTTAAAAAAGGTTCAAGAAAGAACCATATACAAAACATTCCCCATCAATCTGAAGAACCATTTCACCATGCAGAGAACCATTTAAGCATGAAATTGTTCTAAACAGAACCATTGCCTTTACTAAAGACCCCTTGAGGAACATGTTTTCATGCTTAAATGGCTTTTTGTATAGTAAAGTGGTTCTTCAGACTAATGGAGAATGCTGTATATTGTTTTATATAGAACCAAAAAAGCACCAAGTATAGCGCCAAAAAAGGGTTCTTAGGTTGTTGCAAGCCTGCCATTATAACAATAGCAGAACCCCCTTTGGTGCTGTATAGAACCAGTTTCAAGGTTCCATTCAGAACAATATACAAAACATTCTCCATCAGTCTAATGAACCATTTCACTGTGCAGAGAACCACTTAAGCATAACATAGTTCTATACAGAACTCATGGTTCTAAATAGAACCATAGCCTTTACTAAAGAATCACCCTTTTTAAGTATGTAGAGGTTTTTTTTTTGTTTTGTTTGTTTGTTTGTTTGTTTGTTAGTTTGTTTTGTTTTAATGCCTATTTTAGATATGGATTTCAGTACATAAACATTTTATAAATGTTTAAACTGGCACCAGATCCTCCTGCATTAGCGTCGGAGAAATCTGGAACATGTTAATTTGTCAAATATTTTAATAAATAGCACAGATATTTCTTCACTTTAGCATTCAGCTATTTTTTCCCCTTTTAATTTCTGTGTTTTTTCATCACAGTCATGTTATTAAATTTTTCATTGTAATTTTCTTTTGTTATTACTTTACACTGTTAAGCACTTAACTGCTAAACTGCACATTCAATGAAAGATGATTTTTTATTATTATTATTATTATTATTATTATTATTTTCTGTAGGGATACAAATGCATTAAAGTGAATACAGTGAAGACAGTACATCAATTTAAAATATTTAAAATTTTAAACTATTTTTGTTTATTACCTGCCGATATGAGTCCAATATCATTGTGCATCCCTTCTTCACTCTGGCGTGTATAGAAGTGTCTGGAGACAGACGGATTGATGTGCTTTGATCCCTAAAAGGAAATTTAGGTGCAGCAGTAGCAAAAGAACATGACACATCATAAATACAGGTTACATACTGTGTGAATCTTAAGGCTTTGTTCCTCTTCTGCACCCTGTAGATATCAAAGTGAAGGAGCTGGACAAGCGTGCGTCTGGCCAGGCCTTTGAGGTCATTCTGGGTAGTCCTGCCCCAGATGCCAAAGGAGAGTTCCCGCTCTCTCCGCCGAAGAAGAAGGATTTGTCGTTGGAGGAGATCCAGAGGAAGCTGGAGGCGGCCGAGGAGCGGCGCAAGGTGCGTCTCACTGGGGTCTGATCTGAGTGTAGAACTGCTAGTCAGCGTTTCAGGAAGATGCTCACGTTGGTGCTTTAAAGTCCCAGCAGACACAGTGTGGAGTATTAGTGTTTGTGTAGTACAGAAAGTGAGTTTTAGTAAAAAAAACAGGATAGAAATATAATAAAACTGCTTAAAAACCATTTATCAAATCGGTCTGAGGACTCCTTAAAAAACGTACTTCATTATTTACTTCATAACTTTCATATTTTGTAAGCTTCATTCTAAAGGTGGGGGTCGTATGAGAGCTGTAACTGTCTTCTTTCCAGTCAAATAGATGGGTGATGTAATTTTAAAACTATAACAAAAGAAGCTGAACTCAGATGGCGTCTTTTCAGTGATCTGCTCTGTAAAAATTGTTTTTTAATAAAAAATAGAAAGAGCATCTAAGATTTTTGGCTTTCAGCAGTAAATTGTAGGCATCTATACTGATCAGGCATAACATTATGACCACCTCCTTGTTTCTACGCTCATTGTCCATTTTATCAGCTCCACTTACTCTATAGGTGCACTTTGTAGTTCTACAGTTACAGACTGTAGTCCATCTGTTTCTCTGATACTTTGTTAGCCCCCTTTTACCCTGTTCTTCAGTGGTCAGGACCCCCACGGACCCTCACAGAGCAGGTACTATTTGGGTGGTGGATCATTCTCAGCACTGCAGTAACACTGACGTGGTGGTGTGTTAGTGTGTGTTGCGCTGGTCTGAGTGGATCAGACACAGCAGTGCTGCTGGAGTTTTTAAACACCTCGGTGTCGCTGCTGGACTGAGAATAGTCCACCAACCAAAAATATCCAGCCAGCAGCGTCCTGTGGGCAGCGTCCAGTGACCACTGATGAAGGACTAGAGGATGACCAACACAAACTGTGCAGCAGCAGATGAGCTATCGTCTCTGACTTTACATCTACAAGGTAGGAGTGTCTAATAGAGTGGACAGTGAGTGGACACAGTGTTTAAAAACTCCAGCAGCACTGCTGTGTCTGATCCACTCAGACCAGCGCAACACGCACTAACACACCACCACCACGTCAGTGTTACTGCAGTGCTGAGAATGACCCACCACCCAAATAGTACCTGCTCTGTGGGGGTCCATGGGGCTCCTGACCACTGAAGAACAGGGTAAAAGGGGGCTAACAAAGTATCAGAGAAACAGATGGACTACAGTCTGTAACTGTAGAACTACAAAGTGCACCTATATAGTAAGTGGAGCTGATAAAATGGACAATGAGCGTAGAAACAAGGAGGTGGTCAGAATGTTCTGCCTGATCAGTGTAGCATTATGTTTATGATCATAAAACACATTTTCTGTTAATTTGAAGGGAACTTTTACAAAAAAACCTCATTTACATTTATTTCATGCAGTTACTGAAAAATTTGCCTTATGATTTGGGCATGAAAATTCAGATGGAAAAACAAGGTTAAATAGAGGTTAAAGAGCAGGGTGATGGACAGCCATCAGTCCAGCAGAACTAAACACAGCAGTCAGAGTGAAATGGGTTCTGCTTACTCAGGTCATGTCAGACTGTCCCCACTGTCGACTCTACAAGTATTGAATATGCTCAGAAAAGCATGTTTTATTGTGACAATTATGATAACGATACATATTAATAACGATACACACTAAACATAAACGTTTATATTGAGAACGTATAAAGAAGGTTCTTATTTACTGCCAGATCTGCATCCAGGGAGGGCCAGGCAAAATTAATATACCAATATTGTGATAATTATATATTATATATGCTTTTCTGAATGTCGTGTTTATCGTCAGTACTTGATGCTGAGCAGCTGCATGTTTCATTGTAATAAGAGCAAAATATTAGTCCTGTTTAACTGGATTTAGTTCAGCACACTCCTAATGATGGTTCTTTAAGGGTTCTTTAGTAGATGGTTCTATATAGAACCTTTGTTTTATACAGCACCAAAAAGGGTTCTTCTATTGTTACAGGCATAACATCGTCACAATAGAAGAACCCTTTTGATGCTATATAGAACTCTTTTATAACTGTTCTTTATAGAACCATATAAAACACATTCTCCATCAATCTCAAGAACCATGTCACCATGCTAAGAACACTTTAATTATCTAAACGGTTCTCTGAGTGGTCATATGGAGAACTGTAGAGCCTCCCTTTTTTATTTTTATTATTATTTTTAATAAAGAATCTCTGAAAAACCATCCTTTTCTTGGTGTGCAGTATGCAAATTATTTAATATAGATCATTGTATTTATATCTTAATGTGGGTTTTTAATTGTTTATTTTTTAATTAAATCTAGCACTACTGCTTCTTTTTTGTTTGTGTTTCTTAAATCTGATCAGTTGTCTGAAAAGATCAATATTGTAACATCATGTATCGTGAATTGCTTGAAGTATCGGCATATCGCCCTCTAGTGGTCGGCTGAACAAACAGATGAGCTGACTGGATTGCTTGTTTTATTGTAAGAGGTGAATTTTGACTAAATACATAACCAGTTGAACATGGGAAAGTGATTCACAGTGCTTTGTCTATATACTTATTTTGTGCTAACAAGATCGTTAATCTACTTAGAAAGACAGCCCTGAATTTGGTCCCCTGCGACTTCAACTGATGTATCCAGGCTCCGCCCTCAAATGTTCTTTTGTAGCTGCTGTTGTGAGATGGAAGCTTTGGTGATAATCCAGTTCAGCATAACGAGAAACTCCTGTTCAGCATTAAACTGGAAACTGAACATTATGTACCAAATTTAAACCAGCGCTCAGTGAAGCGTGTCCGACCTCGCAGCAGTAGCTATGGAGGAGACCTCTGTGGGCGGAGCTTGAGTGAGAAAAGCACGATGTTTTTGCCAAAAGCCAAAGTTTTCTTCTCTGAAGCGTCGTTCATCAGGTGTCAGTGTTTGGCTTTGAGCTCAAGCTATGAGGCTAATGCGGCTAAAAAGCAATACATGTCTTCTGTTACTGTATTATGCTGTGTAGGGCTGGGCGATATGACTGTGTATATGGTTATTGTGATAAATATGCTTTTCTGAATATGCTGTTTATCGCCAGTGCTTGTAGACACTGACCATGTTTGCATGTTTCATTATAAAGAGACAATATTAGTCAGTTTAACTGGATTTGGTGCAAAACAGTATCAAATACTGAATATAAATCATTGTATTCAGTTTTTGATGATTTTAAGTGTAGCACTGGTTCTTTATTTATCTGATAATAGTAAAATTAAAAAGTAAAATAATTATAGTAAAAATACTGAACACTAATGATTTATATTAAATATTTGGCATACTGAACATGTAAAGATGGCTCTTAAGGGGGTTCTTTAATAAAGTAAATGGTTCCTTTATAGAACCAAGAATGTTTTGCATGATTAAAGGGTTCTTAGATCTTCAGATTGATGGAGAATGTGCTGTGGATGGAAGGAAGTAAGTAAGTAAAGTTTATTTATATAGCGCTTTTTACAACAGGTGTTGTCACAAAGCAGCTTTACAAGGAAATCAGCATTACAGAAAGAAAAGAAATCCGGGTCTGAGCCCCCATGAGCATCGCCAGTGGCGACAGTGGCAAGGAAAAACTCCCTAAGAGAAACAGGAAGAAACCTTGAGAGGAACCAAGACTCAGAAGGGGAACCCATCCTCCTCTGGTCGACACCGGATAGTAAACATTGTTAGTATAAAGTATTATAGTACAAAAACAGGGTAAAAGGTGAAGGAAACAATTAATTTGAATAGTTCAGTACATGCAGCAGCAGCATCAGTGGGGTCAGGTTGTGGGGGTGAGGTTTGCACGGTGAGCAGTGGCACCCGATCAAGGCAGCAGAGGCAGCAGCATCAGCAGCAGGATGGGCAGCTGTTCAACTCGGCAAATGGTTCAATATAGAACCGAAAAGGGTTCTTCTATTGTTAGCATGTCAAGCTTTTATACAGTAGCATAACCTTGTTTGCTGCTGTATTGAACCCTCTTCGAAAAGGTTCTCTAGAACCATCTATAGCACTTTTGTCAATCTGAAGAATCCTTTCAGGATGCAAAGAACCCTTTAAGCATGCAAAAGAGATTGCTCATGGTTCTATATAGAACCACTTCCTTTACTGAAGAACCCTCTAAGTGCACTTTAAGCATCCTGTGTCTGTGTGTGACGCTCTGTTCAGTCTGTCTCTCCTTTAAAGCCTGAATCATGTGATTTCTCTCCTCTTCAGTCCCACGAAGCCGAGGTTCTGAAGCACTTGGCTGAGAAACGTGAGCACGAGAAGGTGGTGCAGCAGAAAGCCGTGGAGGAGAACAATAACTTCAGCAAGATGGCAGAAGAGAAGCTGAACCAGAAAATGGAGGCCAACAAGGAGAACCGCACGGCGATAATGGCAGCTATGAACGAGAAGTTTAAGGAGAAGGTACTCGAGCAGAGCGCTGACCTAACCCTAACCCTGACCCTGACCCGCTGACCTGGTTCAGCGCTTTAATTATTTACTGATTGACAGTTAGGGCTGTCATAATTACTCAGTTTAAAGAAAGAAATGTGTGAAATGTACCTTTATTGATGATTTACCATTAATTCAGTTTAATGTTTAGTTAGATTAGTTTGTTTAAAACAGAAATGACCAAACTTGTCTGCACAGACTGAAGTGCAGTTTTTGGACTAAATAAAACACAAATAAGCGATTGTTTATGACACAGAATACTGTTTTCGTCTGAGTGGAATATAAAAGCTGTTAATCTGGGCATTAAGTGTTATTTACTTGAACATTAATGTTAAAAGAACTATAAACAGTATTAATACAATAAGTAATGATTTGTATTCAGTTAGGGCTGGGCGATAAAACGATAACAATAATTATCGCGTTATAACTTTTCCTCGATAGAGCGATACGACGTTCGATAAATGTTCACCATTCTCACACTTCCACATTCAGCGAAAGCCTTGGTGGTGTTTTCTACTGCAAGGAAAGCGACGCTACTCCGCTGTCGCCAGGAGAGGGCGCACTTCCGAGTTTTTCGACATGATTAGAGAGGGAGGGGGCCACGAGTAAGATGAGTCTTTAGCAACGGCTGAAACGTGGAGTTATACATTTCCTGTTTGAGCGGAGGGACCGGCGATCTGATCTCCTGTGACCGAGTGTGAGTGATGAGGTCAGTGGTGTAACTGTACTGACCTACAGTGACCTCACCTCTTTACTAACATCCTAACAGCTTTAGCAGCGTTAAATCACCATCCTCACAACTACAGCACTGTAACTGCTCAGTCTGATTTTATATTAGTGCATTCACAAGCAACGAGAGTGAAAGAAAGAAGTGGTTCATGTAAATTACAGCCCTGATTTAAACGAAAGTAACCTGAGGAAGCTGTGCGGCAGTGGAGAGCGGGAGAGCACTAGCTTTCCAGGGTAGCTGGAGAACTGATGATACTGTAGATCAAACACGACACAAAAGCACCGCTTTCAGTTTAAACATACCTAAAAGTCGGACTCTGTTTGTCTGGTGTTGATATTTTGCGGTTCACCACTTAAACTACTGCGATAGTATAGAGAAATCCAGTCGTCTAGCTGGTGTCTGAATACCGTGATGTCATGTGTAGCGGGGTAGCCGAGCGCTCGGCACCAGCTAAAAATAATCTGTTTTCTTTCTTAAATTATGACTATTACAAAATAGCCGTGCTTTTCCAGCTGGTAAAAACAGCTCAGCAGACACTCTGCCCACTCTCCCATGACAGATCTGTGAAATGTTCCCCTGGTTGGTGAGTGTTTGTTGTGTTCCGACCATAAAGGATAGTTTAAAACAGTAATTAACCACCCAGGAGCAAAAATCAGCCTTCAAACATAAAAGAAATAATGATTTGACATTTATTGCGATATGTATCGATATCAAACAATATGAATTTTGTTTATCGTGATAGCATTTTTGGCCATATCGCCCAGCTCTACATTCAGTATGTTCATTTATCCATGTCCTGCTCTCTCCTTGAAGTCCAGTATTATCTGTAATTCTCATCTAATACCTACTTTATGTGATCAATATTTCATTATATTAAATCGGCGGCTGCTGGTGGAATAAATAATAAACACGTGATGTCTGGACACCTCCAGCCAAAATCTGGAACCGATCTTATTTAAATTTATTTGAAAAAAGATTACTACTTTTAAATCTTCTTCTATTCTAATGATGTGGTGGTTTTGCAAGCAAAGATAAATTAGTTGCTCAGATGAATGATTTTAAACAATGCACTTAAGTGCCTAAAAGTTTCTCCTGCGGGACTATAATATTTCTTTTTAAATATTGAAAAGTTTGGAATCATGTATTATCTGTTATGATAACTTATACCATCTTCTACAGCTCTGTTCATCACAGGGCTGAACGATTTGGGGGAAATATCTAATTTTTCTGGCAAATGTTGTGACTTCAATTAAAATTGCAAATATTTTGTATAAAATAAGTTTCAGGCCTGTTTTTTGGGGCCAAGAAGAGCAGAATGTGCACTTTTTTTTTGTGTTTTGCTTGAGGCTCGACCCCTGAACGTAGTGTGGTTGTGGTTGTGATGTCACAACACAGAGGTCTGGTTGGATCTGATGATCTACAGGCAGTTCACAGGTCTGTGTTAATGTTAATGTTAAATTTCCACACTTAAAACTGAAGACAGTGTTTTTGATAATGTAGATTATAGTTAATGAAAATTGCGCCCTCATGAGTTGCAATTTAGATGTTAAAATGTAAAAACTGTCTTTCAGCCCTAGTTTATCATTTTGGACACATCTAACATTTTTGCATTTTTATTGACAATTTTCTACTGATTGTCTGAAACCTGTGAAGTTGTACACTCTTAAAAATGGTTCTTCAGAACCAGGAGTGGTTCTATGTAGAACCAGTAACACAGAGAACCCTGTGCATCATTAAGGGGTTGGAGAATGTGCCGTAGATGGTTCTATATAGAACTATTTTGAAAAAGCGTCCTCCATTGTTACAATGTCAAGCTTATACACACTTAAAGATGATTCTTTAGTAAAGAAAACGGTTCTATATAGAACATGTAACACAAGTACCCTTTGCATGGTTAAAGGGTTCTTTAGATTGATGGAGAATGTGCTGTAGATGGTTCTATGTAGAACCTCTTTGAAAAGGGTTCTATTTCGCACCAAAAAGGTTCTTCAGCTGTTACAATGTCAGACTTTACAGACTCTTTAGGGTTCTTCAGCAAAAATTGGTTCAATATAGAACCGTGAACAAAATCCTTTGCATGATTAAATGGTTCTTTGCAGTTTGTTGTATAATGTTATATGGAACCTATAAAAACAAAAGTTCCTTGACATCATAACAATAAAAGAGCCCTTTTGGATGCTGTATGCAACCCTTTCAAAAAAGGTTCTCTGTAGAACCATCCAAGAACGTTCTTGCATCTTTCATGATGCAAGAACCCTTTAATCATGTGAAGGGTCCTTCGAGTATTTGTGGCTCTATATAGAACATTTCTTTACTGAAGAACCATCTTCATTATTGTCATAACAGGATCATTTCATACGTTTTGTTTGAATTGAAATCAAAGTCTGATCACTTGATTGATCACTAATAACGTATGTGGTTTTTGTCTCTCTGCCTCTTTGTTTTAGGATAAGAAGCTGGAAGAGGTTCGAAAGAACAAGGAGACCAAAGAGGCAGTCGGAGACGGCGAGAACTGAACTGTACAATCGGGGGGTGGGGTGTGGAGTGGGGGGGGGGTGGGGTGGGGGGGGTTTGAAAGGGTCTCTTAAATCCAAAGATTTATTTTTCATTTCTTTGACGGCCAGTATTTGCATTCACTTTTATTTCTGTCCTCTCTGAAGAAGTAGGTACCGTAACGGTCAGGCTTTCTGCTCTGACCTTCCTCTCGGTCCTCGAGTCCGAGCTCCGTTTGTTTGAATGTGTATCTTCGTTCCTGCCGCTGTGTTTCGTCAGCAGAGCTCGTGCCATTTAAGGAAGCCTGTCTCTGTGCATCGGTCCTTTAACGCCTCTTAACGTCGCTCGCTCTCGGATTACGTGCTCGTACGTCTGTTTTTAGCACTTAACAGTAGCTCGCTGCCCGTTCTTCCAGGGGGTTCTGAGGGTTCTCTGACTCTGCTGTTCTGCGTAGGTTCGCTCTATTCCAGAAACTGCTAGTCTCGCTGCTTCGTTGCAACTTTTTCTTCCTCGTTTTTTCTTCCTTTCTTGCTCTTGCTGCCGTTTTGCTTTCGTGAAGCTGGAGGTCAGCGTGGGTCAGTTTCTCAAGCACATGACTGTTCACTGCTGGTGGGGGGCGCCATCCCGGCGGAGGGCTCGGTTCTACGCGTGGAACGCAAAAAGAGCAATACACTTGGACGGTTAACTTGTTAACTCTTGTACTAAAAAATAATAAATGAAATTGCTTCAAGTCATCTGCTGGTTTTGATTTCTAGATCTCTAACGAGCATCTCGTTTCAGCATTTCATTCCATTTTGAAGGTCTCCAGACTCCAGTCGGCTTTCCTTCATGGCTTAAAGGGCTCATTGTGGAAAATTTAGATTTCTCCATGTATATATGAGAGAGATGGAGATATCTATTGAGTGCAAATGTGCAAAATACAGCGTGATTCAAAAAGATTCATCTGATTTCAAAATGATTTATTTCTCTTGTAAATCATTACAGATCAGTGCAGTAAACTGTAAATGGTTTAAATGATCATAAAGTTTATTATGTAATTGTACAAGGTCTCAGTCTGAACCTCCTCCAGCTGTACAGACAACATCAACACCATAGTCAAACTCATCCCATACTGGATTGAGCATGTCGGGTGTCGCTGCACTCACGGCTCTTTCAGTGCGATTTCGGAGATCCAGTGTTGGGAGTGGCACATAAACAGAATCCTTAACGAACCCCCACCGAAAAAAAGTCAGGCGTTGTGAGATCTGGTGATGCTGGTGACCTTTTTTTTGGAACTGTTGGTACCAGCGATGAACGCTCTGAGCTGTTGGAGGTTCACTGCCAGACTGACGGTCAGAAACTCTATGACCCCCTCTTTCAATTGGATTGTGATTGGTTCCTAGGCTTTATTTACTGATTGACAGTTAGGGCTGTCATAATTACTCAGTTTAAAGAAAAATGTGTGAAATGTACCTTATTGATGATTTACCATTAATTCAGTTTAATGTTTAGTTAGATTAGTTTGTTTAAAACAGAAATGACCAAACTTGTCTGCACAGACTGAAGTGCAGTTTTTGGACTAAATAAAACACAAATAAGCGCATGTTTATGACACGGAATACTGTTTTCATCTGGGGGGAAAAAGTGGAATAAAAATATGTAAAAATATGGCGCTTTGAAATCAGATGAATCGTTTTGAAGCATGCTGTATTAAGATGTGGCAGAGTTTTATAACCAAATGTTAGATTTTAAAGTGTCCAGTCGGAGGAGGCTATTACTGTTTTGGCACATAAAACAGGTCAGACGTCAACCTCAAGGGGGGGAAATAGACAAATGTGAGATACGGGTCTTTAAACTCAATTTCACTTAATAAAGCATGTTGACCAGGGTGTTCAAACTTTTGCACACGACTGTAGGTCTTAAACATTCTTGTTTTGGTGAGACTGACCTTCCTGAGTGGACCTGAAACTCTCAGAGCTCACAGCATGTTTTCATAATCAGACGACATTTTGACCGAAAGCTTCAGACTTAAATTTGAAATTAGTCTCGGAGACGAATATAAATAGTGAAGTTGCTGCTTCTTCATGAATTCATTTCTCAAACAAATGATTTTTGATTAAATAAGATACCTAACGAGGTTTTGAGCAGCAGCAGAATCGTCTCTGGTGTCTCCTTGCAGTGCTGCGTGAAAGAACACCGAGTGCATAAATCTGCATCAGAATAAAAAAAGATGGTTCTTCAAGGGTTCTTCAGTAAAGGTGGTGGTTCTATATTGAACCATGGGTACTACACAGGACAATTTCATGCTTAAATGGTTCTTTGCATGGTGAAGTGTTCTTATTTTCTAGATTGATAGAGAATGTGATGTATAAGGTTATAATAGCAGAACCCTATTGATGTGATATGGAACTGTTTTCAGAAAGATTCTGTATAGAGCCATATACAACACATTCTCAATCTAAGCTTGACTATTGTCTTCTAAAGAACCCTTGAAGAACCATCTTTTTAAGAGTGTAGAAGGTAGTTTGATGGCTGGAAGGTTTCATTGTGGAAAAAAGTGAAAACAAAGAAAATCTTTTTATAAGTAGGTGTGTTAAAACTTCTAACTGGTTCTGGATACGTTTCTCATTCTGATTCGTTAAGGTTTACTTTACAACCAAACTGGATTTTTGAAGAACCTGTTGATATAATGATGTTTGTCTCCCTCTAGTGGATAGAGGCTGGAGGTGACTGAGGGGTTTATTTACATTAGAGTTAAATTGGTTTTGGTTTTCAGTAGTTTGAGAAGAAGGGCCTTATTTATTAAGCATTTCACAGTAAGAACACTGATCTAAGATCGTTTCATCAGGTTTTATGTCATTTTATTTTGTAAGCTGACCCTAGATTTGTGTTCTTATTCTGTTAAGTTTGATAAATATGGGCCAACGTTTCCAAATCCGACATTGGAGCTGGTCAGTAGTGCTGAGAGGTGAAGCATTTCACAAGTTTTCTGTTTAAACTGTAGTGTCTCTAATGGCCGTGCAAAAAAACAGGAGGAGCTACTTTAAGCTCAGTGTTCAGAATATAAAGTCTATATTTACAGTACTGGCACACGAGGAAAACGGCTGCTGTTATAATCTTTAATTCACTCTGTTCCTCACTGTAACTGGTTGACTGTTTCTTGTAATTCTTCTCTTAATGTTTTATAAAAAAATTCACTTATTTTAAATTCTCAACATTATTTTGGCTTTTATGACCTGTTTGAGTTCACCACTGCTCCCATAATCCCACTGTCAATTCATCATATAGCAAAAAGAAAATCTTGCAAATTTGACTATTAATTGTGCAGCGGTGTGATTCAGACTTCAGCAGAGCTCAATAACACTGAGATTAATAACTGATCACATTGATTTATCAGTCTACTCAGGCTTTAGCAGAGCTCAGTAACGCTGAGATTAATAACTGATCACATTGATTTATCGGTCTACTCAGGCTTTAGCAGAGCTCAGTAACGCTGAGATTAATAACTGATCACATTGATTTATCAGTCTACTCAGGCTTTAGCAGAGCTCAGTAACGCTGAGATTAATAACCGATCACATTGATTTATCAGTCTACTCAGGCTTTAGCAGAGCTCAGTAACGCTGAGATAATAACCGATCACATTGATTTATCAGTCTACTCAGGCTTTAGCAGAGCTCAGTAACGCTGAGATTAATAACCGATCACATTGATTTATCAGTCTACTCAGGCTTTAGCAGAGCTCAGTAACACTGAGATTAATAACTGATCACATTGATTTATCAGTCTACTCAGGCTTTAGCAGAGCTCAGTAACGCTGAGATTAATAATCGATCACATTGATTTATCAGTCTACTCAGGCTTTAGCAGAGCTCGGTACCGCTGAGTGAAATGCAGTGCACACATGAGATTGCATTTAAACAGTAACATGTGGAAAACGTGCCAAAATGAATCGATTTGAAGACGGCACAGTGGAAAGCTTTTTAAAAATAATATGTGAGGATCTGCATTTTAAAAATGCCAGATTGTATTAATTTCTGACACGAATCTGGCATTTTTAAAATGCAGATCCTCACATATTATTTTTAAAAAGGTTAAGTGATGTGAAAACAATTTAATAGAGGCTTTGTTTTAGATTTTGTTCTGCACGTCACTATGAAAAAGTGCTTCATGTGTGCATTGCAGTTCACATTTCTTTTTTTTTTCACTGTATGATTTGCTTTTCGATTCGGCACGAATTCCTCTCCATATGTTTACTCATCAAATCACACTATTAAATGCAGCACCAGCAGACTCTGATAACTGATTGGAACGACCCCGATGAGAGATTTTCACCATAAAGCTTAATTGATGCTTTATTGATGATGCCTGATTCTCACTTTCCATAACGGGATGGCCAGAAGGGCAGCCTTGCTTTGTGCTGCCCACCCCTTGGCTACCCCCCCACCCCCACCCCCGGTTGTTATACATTAAGGTTTGTCACTATATTACTGTAGTGATAGAATTTGATTGATTCTTTTATTGCCATGTAATGTCAGTGGTAATTGTATCCAGTGCATCAACATGTAATTAAACCCTGTAGTAGCGCAACGTACAGTATAATTCATATACAGTAAGAGACCCACCAATCAGGCGTAACATTCTGACCACCTCCTTGTTTCTACGCTCATTGTCCATTTTATCAGCTCCACTTACTATATAGGTGCACTTTGTAGTTCTACAGTTACAGACTAGTCCATCTGTTTCTCTGATACTTTGTTAGCCCCCTTTTACCCTGTTCTTCAGTGGTCAGGATCCCCATGGACCCTCACAGAGCAGGTACTGTTTGGGTGGTGGATCATTCTCAGCACTGCAGTAACACTGACGTGGTGGTGGTGTGTTAGTGTGTGTTGCGCTGGTCTGAGTGGATCAGACACAGCAGTGCTGCTGGAGTTTTTAAACACTTCAGTGTCACTGCTGGACTGAGAATAGTCCACCAACCAAAAATATCCAGCCAACAGCGTCCTGTGACCACTGATGAAGGACTAGAGGATGACCAACACAAACTGCAGCAGCAGATGAG